AGATGATAATAATACCTGCTTCCTGGGGCTGTTGTGAGGATTATAAGAGATAATATCATATAAAGCTGATAGCAGACACTAAGAGTGGTAGTTATTATTACTGGAACCAAATGGCTTCCTATGGAGAAAATTATTTGTTCTAGTGTTAATGAGAATTTGGGATCTATAAAGGTCTTAAATATTTTTTTTTTTTTACTCTACCTGAATTTCTTCATCTCCATTGTTTTTATTATCTGTATTCAATCAGTGCTTAAATTGCTTCTAGTCACATAATAAAATTTAAGAATTTAGAATATATACATTTATATAGAATTGTTAAAATTATCTAGAATTTGGAATATACACACACACACACACATATATATATCTTCTGAAGATTAAATGAGATTATTTGTGACAGAAACACAAATGGCTATAAAGTTTGTTTAAAGATCCAGTTCTATGCAAGAGGCTATTAAAGTATCTTAGAGAATTTAAACTTGACTTTGGCAGGGATACTTTTCATGTGACAGAGCACTCTCCACTTTTCCCATTAACCTGAAGAAGGTAAACACTGCAAACCTTTGTCTTTATGGCATCTTATTTGAGAACGGGGCCAGGCATGGTGGCTCTCGCCTGTAATCCCAGCAGTTTGGGAGGCCAAGGCGGGTGGATCACGAGCTCAAAAGATCGAGACCATCCTGGTCAACATGGTGAAACCCCGTCTCTACTAAAACTACAAAAATTAGCTGGGTGTGGTGGCAGGCGCCTGTGGTCCCAGCTACTCAGGAAGCTGAGGTGGGAGGATCGCTTGAACCTGGGGGGTGGAGGCTGTGGTGGGCTGAGATCATGCCACTGCACTCTAGCCTGGTGACAGAGAAAGACTCTGTCTCAAAAAAAAAAAAAAAAGAGAGAGAGAGAACAGGGCAAATTATCAAACAGATGTTCCCACAAACCCAAATTCAGAATGTTTCTGGGCCCTTTTAAATCCCTATTCATCATCAGCTCATAAACTAAGCTGAATTAAGAAATGATAGTGAGAAACATGGTGATGTGGCAGAATATATAAGCAGGGTTTATTAGAAACTGCAAATTTAGGAGGAAAACAGCAGTTTAGCTCCCAAATAAAGCAAAACTAGTAGAAAGGAAACAAATGTTAACTTCAGCCAAACAACCTGAAGTTTGACTGAAGTAAGAAACTATATAATTAACTACATTTCTCCACTGGCCCACAGATAAAGATCACTGCAAATTTTGAGCAAGTCTGCATTCAGGCCATTTTGTACAAATCCAGAAGTTTAAAAATATATGCACAATCTGCCTGTAACCATAACAACCCTTCTCACTCCCCACTCCACCACCCCCATCCCAAATCGTTCTTAGGTAGGCCATGTTTTTCAGCTTCTATTCCAAACAAATTATTCCTTAAGGAAAGAGCTACATTAAATTTTAATATAGAACAATGTTTATAAACTGATATTTTCCATGTAGTCTTAGTTTTTTCAAGGATTTACTCAAATAATCAATAAAATATCATTACACTGACTTTGCCAACATCCATGAGACTTTGTTAGTCACGTTGTATTTCATATACAATTCAGCAAAGGGCCGTCTTATGATGCTCCATGAAAAATCAATAGATTCACCTTGTTATTAAGGCAATAGTCGTTTTATTATTATGAAGGCAATGGGAATTTTTAAACAAGTTTAAGAATACACACTAATAACCCTCAGCTGTGGACCTTCTTGATACTTAGTATTTGAAATGAGACTATGAAATAGAAAGTGATTAAAAGTAGAGATAAATTCAGACAATGCACCTTTTTATTATTTTTCTTATTCAAAAATCAAAATCACTACGAAAAAACAGAAACAGACAATGCTATTATTCCAGGGGTATCTGACATTTCCAAACTAACATACATGTTTGTTTAGCTGAGTCAGCCAACTATCAGAAGCCCAAATATCAAGAAGTGGGCAGACTGAGACCTAAATATACTTAGACAAGGTTAATTTTCATTTTTCTAAGGATAACTATTATATTATGACATCAGATAATAAATGCTGTTATTATACAAGAAATGAATGGAAATATAGAATGCATAGAAGGCACTCAGTAAACACTAGTGGATATTAATATTAATTGAATACTAGTAAGCAATATTATCAAATTTGTAATAATATCCAAAAGCTCAGTCTTAGCCAGGTAAAAGATACAAACAAAAGTGAGAATTTCCACAGGTTATCCTCAGTAAATGAATTCATTTCTTCCATGATGACTGCAGAATCTTGTGTCTGACTAGATCTGACCACATCACTCCTCTGATTAAAAGGTATCATTGGTTCCCATTCCACTGATGATAAGGCCCAGATTCCAGATTCCTTAGCACAGCACGAGCTGCTTGCCAACTTTGACTTCTGTCACAATGCAGTCCCTTTCCCATATGTCCTATTTTCTAGTCACATGAAGCCAATTTTTATTTCTTGAACATGCCATATTTCTCATGATGCTATGCCTAGAAGTCTCCTTTTCCCTTAATAATCCATCCAAATCAAATGTCACTTCCTGGGAAGTCTTCTCTGATAGTCTGTACACTATCTCTCTACTTCCGTTAATTTTTAATATTTTTACCTTTAGCAACACTTTTCAAATTGCATTGTAATTTTTAAGGCACGGCTTTATCTCTAGCATCTTGCAGTGTCTACTAATTCTTTGAAACTCAATGAATCAACACATGAGTGTATGAAAGGCCTGTACTTTCTCCTCTTATAAAACAAGTGGGAAGAATTTCCTAGCTCACTCTCTTCATCAACTCAGTAAACATTTCCTAAATACTTCTTATGAACCTGGTCTTGTATAGGATTTATGAATATGATTTTTTTAAAGGCAAAGTTCTTATCCCCATGAAAAACTCTGTCTATTGAAGGAGACAAAGTGATGAGTACTTTGGGTTGTATGAGGAAAACATACAAATCTATGGAAAACAAAGGAGGAGATCCTGACCCAAGCTGGGAAAAGTGGTTTGCTCCTTGAAGGAGAGAGCACCCATTCTAAAACTTGAAGAATACAGAAGAAGAAATTTTAAAAGCCACATTAGTATTTTTCTTCTTCCTCTCTAGAATAACCCATCCACATTTCATAACTGTCTAACCAGGTTATAAGAATCAAGGATCAGTATATATATAAAAATTTTGCTCCAGATCTTAAGTCAACACGCTTTTAACAGACTCTGCCAGCCAGCCATGAGTAGTACTAGGGACCTTTTGGTACAATTTATTTTATCTTAAAGGGTACACATGTGAAAGATGGCACCACCAGCCAGGTAACAAAAATGTCTGAGACCGTGTATACTCATCCACTTTGTGAAAGGAAAAGAAACCTCAGCAAAGCAAAATATTACTTTATTCAGCTACTAAATATAATAAATGCTGTTTATTATTCTAACGAGGAATCTTGATTATTCTGTCACCAAGCATGAGCAGTGGTGGATAATTGCTACCACTTTGCATCTGCTATGAATACCCCACAGATTAAACGTGCTCTTGTCTGACTTGATTTACTATAGCCTTTGAATGACAAAGAACATCATAGAAAATTAACAAATTGAAAACAGAAAGCATCCTCATTTGAGACCATTTTTATAGTGAATACACTCATATTTTCATTAAAGTCTCCCTTCTCTCTCTACTTGATCTGAATCTCTTGACATCATTTCTCAATGCAATGAAGAGTTCCTACCCTTCCCATTGTCACTATTTTGCTGTCTTAGTGGATGCCTTGATTAAGCCTTATTCGTTATATGAATGTTAATGCTATTCTTAGTGCTGTAACAGCAGCTTTGTTTCAAAGAAATAGTAGACACTGCAAGATGCTAGAGATACTACAATAAAGCCATACCTTAAAAATTACAATGCAATTTGAAAAGTGTTGCTAAAGGTAAAAATATTAAAAATTAACGGAAGTAGAGAGAGAGTGTACAGACTATCAGAGAAGGCTTCCCAGGAAGTGACATTTGATTTGGATAGCGATTGAGATGGATAAATAAGGGAAAAGGAGACTTCTAGGCATAGCGTCATGAGAAATATGGCATGTTCAAGAAATAAAAATTGGCTTCATGTGACTAGAAAATAGGACATATGGGAAAGGGACTGCATTGTGACAGAAGCCAAAGTCGGCAAGCAGCTCGTGCTGTGCTAAGGAATCTGGAATCTGGGCCTTATCATCAGTGGAATGGGAACCAATGATACCTTTTAATCAGAGGAGTGATGTGATCAGATCTACTTAGATACAAGATTCTGCAATTATCATGAAAGAAAATGAATCTATTCATTGAGGTTTGAGAAACTATGGACAAGGAAGCTATAGCATCAGGTTGGGAACACTGACCTAAATGACCATTTGCTAAGTCAAACGGGAAAAGATAACATTAGGCCAGCACAGTGGCTCACATGTATAGTCCTAGCACTTTGGGAGGCCAAGGCCGGCAGATCACTTGATCACAGGAGGTTGAGACCAGCCTAGACAACACAGCAAAACCCCTTCTCTACAAAAGACAGAATAGAGGCAGCAAATCATCTGGTTATGTATGCACCTATGCAACAACCCTGCATGACCTGCACATGTACCCCAGAACCTAAAGTAAAATTAGAAAAAAATTAGCCAGGCATGGTGGTACACACCTGTGGTCTCAGCTATTTACTAGGCTGAGAGTTAGGAAGATTACCTGAGCCTAGGAGGTAGAGACTGCAGTGAGATGACATCATGCCACTGCACTCAAGCCTGACAGAGCAAGCCCCTCACATGAAATAAAAGGGTAAAATTAATAAGATAAGCATTTCCTTTCCCTAGGATGTTTATATCCTCCTTCTCTAACACAGGTTGTCAACTCCATGGGAAAATGAACTGCATTCTTCTCTGAAGACCAATGTTTAAATAACAGCATTCTTACTGTCTTAGTATGAGTAACAATAATTTAGTAAGTGTAAGCAAATAATGTTGCAAACTGAAGGAAATTCCATACCTGAGACACTTTGCCTATTGGAATCTGAGTCCCCATTACTGGAATTAGAATTGTTGGAAGAGTTGTTGTCAACCCCTCCCAGAAGGGGGCGCAAGTGGCTTACTGAGACTTGTTCAATGAATGAAGTTCCATACTTGCGAAAATACCACCATTCAAATATCTAGAACAGAAAAATAAGCGTGTTTATGGTCCCTGTTATCATTTATGACTTCTGTATACATGTTCATAAAATATGTTACATTTATATTAATCTATCCACCTTAAGTACTTAATTTTTATTTCAAAAATTGTTTATTCTAAAAATTAGATTTTAGGAAAATTAATAAAACATTTAAATTCTTAATGTCGTTTTCTCTGCTTAATGCTGGTTTCAAAACACTATAATATCAAGCATGGATTTTAAAAAAAGCTGTTAAGAACTACTCAATATAACTTTTCTCCAAATTTATATATAATATGCAAATAAAATCACCATAGCTGAAAGACACTTCCAGAAATGTACATATATCAGTTTTTGAAATATGACTTATGAAATATTCCAGTTCTTTGCACTTTAAATTCTGATAAAAACTATACCCGTATAAAATGCTTAAGAGTAACATTTGTGCGTGTAGGGGGTGGGGGGGGCGGTGTTTGCTAAGACCTTCTTAGAAAATTACTGGTTTTACAGAACAAAACAATAAGATGTATCCCATTTCCCACATGGATAGCACCCAACCACTGAGGTTCAGTATTATTCCACTTGCAGAGAAGTGCTTTATAAACACAAGCATCTGTTGTACACCATTAATGTTTCCTAGTTCACAAGTCTACTAATTGTTATGTACTGTGAATTACAAGAGAGAAAAGAAATAACTTTCAGTAATGAAAAAACAATGATGCTTACATGATTAGACTGAAGTCAGGATTTCCTAAGCACTGGAAAAGCAAGTGAACTCCCCCAACCCTTCTTACCTGATCTCTCTGCCTCTCTACAGTGAACACTTCCTACCACTGCTCAAAGTGGCTCTCTCCCACATCCTTTTCTCTCCTCCCTGACTGCTTGGTGGTTTCCTTAGGCAGTCACAAATCATTCCATAGAAGAATTTCAAGAATCAATCATATCCCAGAGTCTCATAGGATAGCTACATTTTATAACATAAAATGTGCAATTAACATAGAATTATCTTTATTCTTACTTATTCCATAAAAACAAGATTATCTACTCTGGAATGGACTTTGGGCTATAACTTTAAAACTGATGTTTTCTCTCTTTTGTTGTATTAAAGGTTTCTAAAAAGACATAAGGAACATTTATGCATGACCAGAAGGAAGTATCAATCAAATGAAATGTTTCCAGTCCTAGAATAGGACATCTTGATTTAATCCCAGGTAGTTACTCTTTCTGACTACAGAGTATCCCTTAAATGAAATGCTTGGAACCAGAAATGTTTTGGATATTGAATATTTTTAGAATTTGGAATATGTGTGTCACACATCACACTGGTTGAGCATCCTTAATCCAAAAATTCAAAATCCAAAAGGCTCCAAGGAGCACTTCAAGTGTTATGTCAGCACTTACTAAGTTTCAGATTTTGGAGCACTTAAGATTTCAGATTTTCAGATTTTAAAGTGTTCAACCTATTGTGAATTATCACATGTAAAAACATTCAAGTATTTTCTCTGGGCAGAGAGGGCTGAATAAACTATCATGTTAAAAAGGGACAAGACTAATTTGTAACATTTGTAATGACTAGGAGTGGGATTTCGCATAAAGGAAAAAAGTTCGGGAATGATAAATTTACACACCATGGATCTAAGGGGGCATCTGTAACCCCTGGTGAGTTATTATCTGAACACCAGTTTCTTCAACTGTAAGTGGAAATCAGATTTATTATTTATCTCAAAGATCTTCAATTTTCATACTAACCCCATATAAAACACCTAATTCAGTGCCTGCTGCAGTTGGTTTTCAAAAGTAATACCAAAGGAACCATTTATGATGTTAATGATGTACATGCCTCCCATGGGCAGCCCACCTCACATACTGCCATGAGGCACCCCTCTTTATGCCAGTCTACAATTCAGGTTAGTACAGCATTTTGCCTGTTACTAGACAGTTGGTAGAAAGTACTGGAAATTATCATGACAAAGGGTATACTCATTGTACAGTCCTGACCACTCAACAAAGCCCTAGATTCATGGCTTTGCCTTTATTAAAAGAGAAGACAGACTCCAAAGGACCCAGAACATTCTTTGCCCCAAGTGGTTTTTCTGCTTTCTATATTGTGCAGCTGGTGCACCTGCCAGTCCTTAGTTCATTCATTCCATCACACAGCACTACATGCTCCACACCAATCATAAGCTATGCTCCAGGATCACAAAGACGTGGCCCCTGCCACTACAAGTGTTTGTCACGATCCATAATACCTCTCACAGGTTGCTCCAGGCATGCCTATGCCCATTACACACACACAAACCTTGGGTTTCTTCAGATTTCTCAGTTCCTCCATGAGAACCATAAAGTGTCAGTGCTAAAAAGGACCTTACAGGATTCTGCAGAGTCCACTTACAGATGCAGAATAAGGACTATCCATCAAGGTACAATGACCTGACTAAAGTCACATAGCTAATTAAATAGTCACTTAGCCTGAAGCCCCTGCTCTTTGTCACTATGTTACCAAGGCTCTAAAACAAGACTTTTTTTTTTTTTTTTTTTTTTTTTTTTTTTTTTTTTTTTTTTTTTGGAGACAGAGTCTTGCTCTGTCACCCAGGCTGGAATGCAGTGGCACGATCTTGGTTCACTGCAACCTCTGCCTCCCAGGTTCAAGCGATTCTCCTGCCTCAGCCTCCCGAGTACCTGGGACTACAGGTGTGTGCCACACACCCGGCTAATTTTTTCTATTTTTAGTGGAGACAAGGTTTCACAGTGTTAGCCAAGATGGTCTCGATCTCCTGACCTCATGATCTGCCTGCCTCGGTCTCCCAAAGTGCTGGGATTACAGGTGTGAGCCACCGCGCCCAGCCAACAAGACTTTTTATAGCTCTCTTGTTTCATGTAAACAAACAGATGTAACCTATCATTCCCTTTTTCAAATCTTTACTCCCAAGTGCCCTCTGACACTGTCCCTCTGTGCTTTATTGGTTATAAAAAACCAATCCAGAAGTAGTCTATCAAACGGGACCAGATTATTCATCCTAAGGTAAAAATGACTCCTATTAACTGGACATTTGCTTTATAATAGGTGATAGACCTTCCACCCAGTATTTCTAATGCAGTAATAATAGACTTCAGTAAAGACTGGGTCATTCATGCAGCTGTTTGGGAAGGAAAAGGGGGGTCTTCTCAGGCCTGTCATATCACTGCAATAGTACAGCCCTGCTGTGTACAGAGAACACAAGTATAAAAATGGACCTCTGCTGTGTACAGGGGACACTAGAATAAAAAAGGACCCCTGTCCTAATATATACTGAATGAACAACTAGGAAAGAAAGAAGGGAAGAACTCAAAACCTTCTGAAACTTTAAACACAGTGTTCTCATCTAGGGTCTTAGCATAAGAATCTTTCGCTTATCCTGAAACGTGTCAGGCTTTGGGCAAGCACCTCACAGTGTTTTAAAAGAGCTGCACAGATCCAAATGGGCAGATGGTGTTATTTAAGGTGCACATATTTGGTGTCACTTTGAATTCTTTTCCCTAGTGCATAACTACAATGCAAACAGCAAAGCTCTCATAAACAAATTCAGATTTTAAAAGTACTTCTTGGACATGCTAGTAGCTCAGTAGGCCTGCCACAGTAGAACAAGCTTTTAGTCTGACAGACAACCAAAAAAATTAAAATATAAATATGCATTTCATAGTCTTAAAAATTTAACCTCTCCTGTGCTTTTTTCCTATTCATGCTCTGCCCCTAAGAGGGTGAAGTAAGATAAGAACTAAAAAGTATCAAATGGGTTTGGCATTTAGGAAGTCAACAGGTACCTTATCATTTAGTTTAAAGGCAAAACCCCTTTAAACTAGATAGCCGGGCTATGTGATCTTGGTCGGTTTTCTTCATCCTTTGGGGCTTAGTTTTCTAATGTGTAAAATAAGGTCACTGTAAGCAATCAGTTAATGTCGGATGAAGAGATGGAGAGAGAAAGGGAGGGATGACTAGAAGACTGAATGGAAGGATAGTTGGAAGGTTGACTGGATGGATGATAAAGGCTGGCCTGATTGATGTAATGGGAGATTGTCTAAACGAACAGCAGGATCAATAAAAGGTTTTGTGTTCATTTTGTTATGAAAAAGAGATGCTCGTACATATTTGTGTTAGAGGAAAAAAATCCAGTGAAAAGAGAGAAACTGAAGGTCAAAAAGAGTACAAATAACCAAAAGACATGATGCCAAGTAGGAAGCACATCCCATTCTACCTTCACCACTTCTTGCTCTAAGATAGGAGGAAAGAGAAAGAAGAATGAATAGGTGGAAACATTCTATTTTGGATAGTAGATTGTGATATGAGCATTTCCCAGGTTAGAAGGTAACAGTAGGATAAAAACTGGGTGCATACTGATCTCAGTGGAGGTGCAGGTAAGGTTTGCTTTCTGGAAATAAGGGAGGTGGGGATGGAATTGGGAATATGAGGGTTGAGGAAGTGGTTTGGACCTGTATCTTACAAGGCAGAAGGGCCAATAACTATACTCGGGGTCCAGATTATATTTAAAACAAAGATCCATTTGGCAAGGACCCAGTGACCAACACCCAGAGATCTCCTCCACTACTATTTGACAGAAGCAGAGAAGAAAACTAATGAGCACCGGGGCTGGGAGCTGTGGGCAGAGACCTGTTTCCAGCTGGCCTAAGTTTCAAACTTGTCTCATGTTTACCTGCAGGGAACAAAGATCTGACAAAGGTACAATAAACAAGGCCCTTCCATCAATCTTGCAGACCTAAAAGTAGACCCTTTGCTCAAGAAGCCTAGCTTCTTCCTACTCAGTAAGTCCTCTTTCTTTGAATTGCATATTCTGTATATAAAACATTTCATGTGTCAGGAATTTCTCTATGCCCTATTAACACACTCAAAAATGCTTCCAGATTTCCCCATAGCAAAAGTGTAGTAACTCCACACCAACGCCATTTAACCCGTGAGAAATACAAAGATGACAAAGCTTGAAATTGACTAATTGCTTCTTAAGAAT